ACTTTACGTATTTCAGGGACTTTTATTTTGAACTCCCCTTTTATTTCATGCCATTTTACTATTTCAGGCTGTTTTACCATTTCATGGCGTTTAATTTCATGGTCCAATAAGCAAATGAGGGGGCGGAGTTCTCGCTGAGGTTTTGGATTCAGGAAATGATCTGTTTCACCACCAGCAGTGGTTTATTAATAAAACACAGACATAAGTCCATAAATGAGTTGAATGACTGTCACTCTGTGATTATAAAGGCTTTGCAGAGATAATTATGGTGGCTTTTGGCCAAATAACCCTGATTTTATCACTCAGATTAAAAATACCGATTTTTTTTCCGGGTTTTTTTGGCCAAGCCGAATTGTTAAACATCTTTCCAAATGTATGCCATTCAAGTTTCGTGCAGCTAGCCCCTTCCTGTCTCAAGTTATGGCTAAAATGGTCTGTTTTCAAGTAGAGTTCTCTGCAGTGATTGCACATAAACAGACATCCAATGACCACATGGAATATTTATTAATATTTTATTAATTACATTATTTATTTATTGTAGCTCGAATAAAACGGCTCTCCATTGAAAATGGGACAGCTGGACTAAAACTGATTTAATAATAATGATTATTTATTGTATTTTGAAAAAATGGCTCTCCATATTATTCAAGCACCATTTCCATAAACTGTCCCTGTCCTTGAAGTTGTTCCTCATTTGTTCCACTCCAGTRATAACAGAGTTATAACTCACTGTTACAGAACTTTGAGTTTTACTGTTCAGATGTGAACAGGCTGTGAAACAAACTTCAGATGATGATGGGTGGATGATTCAGATTTAACATTTTGGCGTTATCTGTTCGATGGTGTAAATATCTGCGCTCTGATGTAAGTCTGACTTCAGGGGTTGCAGGTAACAGCAGCCGTCAAAATGAGATGAGTGAAAGGTCAGCAGAGGTCAGTAAATGAGTTCAGCTCTGACCGAAGGTCTGAAGAAGACGGAGCAGTTCACTCTGCAGCCACAGGAGGGCAGCAGAGGCTAAAGAACATCAACAAACTGACTGAATGAAAAAAAAAAACAACAGAAGATTAAATACAGAAAAAAGTACCTTTCGTGAGCTGTTGAGCACAGGTGAGGAGGAGGAGGAGGCGGTGCTGCCGACAGCGTTAGATGATGGACAAGCAGAGCCCTGAGACTCATCACTGTGCTGCTGATCTGGAGACAGACTCTCACTGCTGCTGTCCTCCTCAAACGCATACGAGTCCTCCTGCTTGGGGAGCTTACCGTGGTTCACTGTGAGGACAAACAGAGGGAGGAACAGCTGCTGAACGTTGTCAGTCATGCAGAAGGTGTCAGGATGTGTCAGAGCACGGCTGGATGGGCCCAAACTCACAATCAGGTCACGCACACTATAAGATGATGAACCTCACAACCAACAGTAAACATCTACATTAAAAAACAAGACCCATCATATTTAAATTTGATCATTTCAATCTGCAGGCCAGGTGAAAAGGTAACAGCCCCGCTAAGTCAGACAGTTTAAAAGACATAATGATGGTAATTTTATTAAATGGTTTGATTTGGACTTCATCCACATCTATGAAAGCAGAAATAAAAACTGCTCCAAGGTGACTTAATGAATGATACTGAAAATAAATAATGTTAAAACTAGCATTATCGTTGACTAAGTATTTATATTATTTTAGTAATTGCAATTTAATTGTATTTTTTATTTAAAACGAACAAGCTATAATTTAGAATATCTTACTTATCTTTATCTTCTGTTTTCACGTACAGTATGCAACACAAACCTGTTTCATTTAAAAGATAAATAACTTGTTCAAGGCTTACAAAAACTTTATTCAGTCTCAAACTACAGGAAAAGAAAAATTACAGAGTTCTTTAAAAAACACCCTTAGTACCTTGTTGTTCATTTGTTATCTGGCAAGTTTGACTTCTTTGAGGACTATGAGATAATCTGGTCATTTTTTTAAATAATTGTTATATATCACCGTTGTTGGTTTTAGACTCAGGTGTTTGTTGCTGAAGCCTCAAATGTTTCTGTCATAAGGAGATGTCAAAATAC